ACCCGTGCCAGGAGGTCTGCGGGTAAGGGTGCTTTCAAGTCCCTTACTACTAAAGTTGCCTCAGCGGCCAAGTGGACACATCCGTCCGTACTCTGGAGAACGGGCCCATACATCTTGAGCCAAGAACGGATGATGACAGCCCACAGTGCGAGCGAGATAAGACTCATCATAGAGTAACCCAGAGCAGATTTTTCTAGGACGGCCAAGGATAAATCACCTCTGACCCAACTGACAACAGAATCGAGTGTTGAGATAATAATGCCTGGATCGGCGGACAAGGAACCGAGGGCGACAGTGCTCACGGCACCAGCCATCGACCCTCTATGGAGGATTCGGAGTAACCCAGTCATGCCCACGCTGGACGGCTGGAAGTTGGCTGCCCGGTCCAAGTTTGTCAAGATTAGTGATGTTAACCGGCTTGCTAGCACTGTTACGCACCAGTAGGAATACTAAAACATCACGACTACTTTACTAACAACCCAAGGAGCATGCCAGATGTACCATCTGCCCCAGACCCGATACACACACGCGGGTGGCGTATAGAGATGAGGATCTTCAAGGCCAAAGAGCAGTAGCTCAGATAGAAACTTTTCGACCAGTTCATTACGATCTATCGCCACGGGCGTATAGCCTTTCCTCTGCAGGTTAAGCCTGAGGGCAATGCGTTCGTACAACGATAGCTGGGCAATCTGCAAGCATCGACCAGGGTAGAACGAAAATATGGAGTTAGCCAAAGATTCCTCTCTCTCAACCAAAAGGACAACATTCGGTTCGGGGCTAGGCTTCAGCCACCATGTCAGCCACAAGTCAGCGAAGGGAAGGCTCGCAAAAAGCATCCACAAGACTATGAGCCATTTGCCTGGCAGATGGAAAATTGCAATTCCAACCGCCGCCAGAGCGTGGGCTGGCCATGATCGCCCAAGACGTGCTGCTGTCCGGGATTGCAGAGCGTGACACAGGTCTGCATCGAACATCAATAGCAGGACACGCCCTACAGCCAGAGCTCGTAACACCGCTGTGGAACTCCACAGCATAGCCTCGAACAACCCGGGGAATAACAGCACGCAACTTAAGAATTCAGAGGTTCTGCTCACTGCTTGTCTCACCCAAGCGGAAGCCATGTGCACAGAGATGTGCGGAAGCAGGAATTTGCATGCATATCCATGAAACAAGAACCATGCCAAGTGCCAAAAGTTGCTGTGCGGCACATCCAGAAAGATGGCATGAGGCACCAACCATAACCCCCAGGACCTGATCTAAGTTTGCCCCGGAGGGAGCGCGCCTACGGCGAATCACTGCGCTATAGCGCTCTCCACCCGCCAGAGCCAACTTGCGGGCCCTAACCGACGAGTTCGGCAGGCGGTGACAGAGAAGTGCTGCCACACGCCATCCAGCCAGGTTCGTCCACAGCAGCTGCAGACTGCTAGTTGATCTTGCAAGTCTTTTGAGCCAGAGGTACTCTTGAGCCAAAATGGCTACGGAATTTGGGGCCAGGACTACATATGGACCAACACAGGAAAACCAAAAGGTCAAAAGGTTGGCTTTGGGCAACTGAGACAAGGCAAACCACACAGAACGTGCAGCAAAGCGACACGCAAGCAACACCGCAAACTGCTGGCTGATCAACACCGAACCCAAACATTCTGCTGTGGCGCGGCACGGCCAAGGGCTCTACTTGTTGACCACAGGTGGACTTAAACCCAGGGGTGGTTCCTGCTCCCCAAAAGGAGACCCCCTGAGTTTATGCCTATCTTGAGGCAGTCAAAAAGTGGAACTCTGGGCACGCCCGCTCATTTTTGCATTCACGCACGGAGGCGCCTGCGGCACATGGGAATGAGAACGAAGCGAACTGTCAGGCATGCAAGTGACATCTAATGGGAGCTGCATTCTGCAGCTTTCCCACGCGAGGGTTCACCAAAGGCTGACTGGAAAGCACTGCTCTTCTACGCTAGTGATTTGTCACTAGAGTTCACTACTAGGTCCTCCAGAGGAGAGGTTAGAATAAGGGTGCCCCTTTTTCTGTAATCTATTTCAGTAGGGGAACCCTCCCAACCAAAACAGGGTGAGAAAGGGGCACCTAGCTGGGGGACCTAGTCTACAATATGCGCCCTGTCTTCTCACCGCGATTGGCGAACTCTTGCCATCAATGCCCTTGTGGGCCCAAATTCCGATCACGCTGAGGTGACTTGCCAGGCCGCATTCCTGCTCGGCCAGTCAGCGACGCACAGGGATCCTTACATTACTAGGACCCCAGCAAAGAAAATCTGTTTTGCAGGGTGAGTGGAAAACAACGGGACCCCAAGAAAGCAACAAAAAACAAAAAGGGGAGCTATTTCCGGGGAAGATTATACACCTGAACATTGCCTTGTAAATGGCGGTTTTCCTTTATTTTGCTGGAGAAAGCCATGTTTCAAATGGGCAACATGTATCTTTTAAGGAGCCCTGCTAATCCTACTGGTTCGTTGGGGTAGCCCACTGCCCCTTTGCAGCATTCTGGGGGCCATTGGGAAGTCCCCAGCCAACTATCAGTCACCACAGCCTATGGCTGACAGTCCTCGAAAAGCCTGCCGCCTAGCGTGTTTTCACATGTTGTGATACCTTCTGGCATTATGGTGCGCCATGCTGCGGGCCCACGATTTATAAAATTCAGGTTGATCAAATGGCGGGTATCCGCGTTTATTGGAAATCAGTGCATATGGGAAATTCGTCTTCTGATATCGGCCATCCCCACGCGATTGCCTCCGGTTCCCTTGGTATGACGCCGGAGAGGGACGTGGGAGGCGGGTTCGTTCCCATAGTTCGGCGGTTTTCGCGTTTTGTGCTTGAGTGTCAGAATCACAGGTTGCGAGTGGATCTTATTGAGCTTTTTGAGGATAGACCAGGGCTGTGGGGAATGACCACTGCTTCCCAAAGACTATTTTCTTCATATAAAGAGGGATTCCCTTGTATCACAGAAGTGGGGCGAAACCCCTTGATCCCATAAACCTGAACAGGATTGATTCTGTTTGAGCCTCACATGATTTGGCCCTCTTGGGACCTCTCCAGACTTGTTGACTTGTTTGAGGTCAGCCTCACAAAACGTGGAGACGTCCTGAAAAACTCGGTTGCCAAATCTGCTCCCCTGCTAAAAGTTTTAACTTTTAGTGGTTCAATACGAAAAACAACATTAGTTGGCAAACAGTTTTTCAGTCCGAACATCCCTTGGCAAAATGCAAAGGAAAGTTGACCCAGGATTTTCTTTACCCGTCCCATAAAAAAGGGGGGTGTTCCCTCCAAAAGTGGTACCAAAGAAAAAGCCCATCCTGGGAGGCCGCCTTTTCGGGGCCAACTTGATTGAGGGCGCTGATCTCAACAAGTCAGAGATCAAGACTCGGCAGAACTCCTCTCAACAATTATTATGTTCTGTTGAAGTAGTCAAGTTATGGTCTGCAGAGTTCAATCATTATGTCCAGTAGAATTATTATTCTGTTGAATTGTAATTCCCAAGTAAGAATATTAGGTTCAATGTAGTTAAATTTATATATAAGCAAATACGGAATGATTCAACTACATTGCCCATGGTGAATCAACCTTTCATAGTCCTTTCCAAATATACGCTGCAAGTGAGACATGTTGCATTGAAATAGAAATCAACAAGGAACCACATGCAGAATGATTACAAGTTGATCTCCATGTTTGTTCAATCAAGTGTCATTAGAATCACCTAAATTGCAACGTAAAGAGGAAACAGTTTGCTTCTTGCAAGTCCAGTTAAACTATTATTTGAACATTTGCATCAATATTGAAATCGTGGCCAAATAGACCATAACTCAATTAGCGTTCATATGGAAATCAGTAAGAAAGAAACCAATCAAACAAATGATTTCACATTCGACCTAAAACCATAATTAGTATGTTGGTGATTAGAATTTACACAGGAATTCCTTTCCACATAGGTCTTTAAGTGGAAATCACTTCGACTCTATACAGAATTTATGAGCAAATAATTGAAGAATAATTGGCACTTTTAGCTAGAATCTAAATGGGGTTTGCTTTCCAAATAGAGTGTTCATTGCAATTCAATTGCAATTCAATTCAAGTGTCATTAGAATCTGAGGCAAAGAAACTGATTTGCGCATGGAGCAGCACTAAGAGCTCCGCAACGGCCCAGGCAAACACGAGGTCCTCCAGTAGAGAGGTAAGAATCAGGGTGCCCGATTTTTTATTTATATTTTATGTCATCTATTTTAGTAGGAACCGAAGCTCCCAACCAAAAAAGGGGTGAGAGGTCGGGCACCAATTGCTGGGGGACCTAGAACATAATAGAACATGTACGAGGCAGAATGCAGGTCCAACACACGTACCCCACACAAATTCGAAATAGTGAGCCTAAACACCGGGAAAACACATACATGAAAGAAACAGAGCCTCGCATGGCGTCCCACCCTCGTCAGCAAACCTGTTTACCCTGTCGTCTCGTTTGCACGGCGATTCAATTGGATCACCCAGAACTCTGTTTGGCCGCGGGACAGGCGCAGCTTTGGCCAAGACAACTCGCGAGTTCTCAACTAACCTTACTGAATTCCACGCGCCTCGCAGGGTGCAAGCTGAAGACTTTGTCTGGCACTAGGCGCCAATCAAATCACGACGCTCCGTGGAGCAAAGCTTGGGAGCACTTTCGTGAAAACAAGTATGGAACGCATCGCGAGGTGTCACCAGAAGATTCCTCCGCACCTTGGCTTCATTTACATAGGTGTTCAGTCTTGGGAGGGTCTGACTTGAGGCCAAAGAGAAACAAGCATCACACACGTACCCTTGGCACACTTCGCGCAGTGGCCATGGGAAAGAAGTAGGCATCCCTTTATTTGGTTGATTTTCCCTAAAAGTTGAAACAAGGGGGCGGAATCCACCTAGGTCCAGTAGAGAGGTTAGAATAAGGTACCAACTTTTTTCAGGAAGGTCTATTTTACCAGGGGAACCTCCCAGCCAAAAAAGAAGCGGTAAAAAACGGGCACCGAGCTGGGGGACCTAGCCGCTGACCACCTGACCAGCTTCAGCTTGCACCCGCGAGCTATCTGCTGGAGCTCATCGCTGACCCGCTGGGCGAGGTCCTTGCCGGCAGCGCAAAAGCACAGCTTCAACCAGACCTGACCATCGAAACCGACTTCAAATTTGCCTCTTCGCCCACTGGAAGAAAGGACAAAACGTCCAATACTCATAGAATCCCTTTAAAAGCAACGGGGGAGTCTGTTTGTTAAAGGGACAAAAACGACTTCCATTTGGCAATGGGTCAAAACTAATCCACCAGGATATGGACCGCAGGTTTTAGTCCATGTTTCCGCTTACCAGGGTTCCATTTTGGGTACCTATTTTTGACCCACAGCCATTTTTGTTCGCCCCCTGGAAACAAATGGACAATATTCCCCGTATTCATAGGTTTCCCTTTAAAACCAGGGACATGTTTTTTTTAAAAAAAAAGGTATTCTTAAGCAAACGGACGCCAATCAGGTACCGACATGGTCAGCCCAAAACCATGTTGAGAGTTGCTACGGCGAAGGCACCCATTTCTGGTTGGGACCGTCCCTAGCCTTCCTGGTCCAAAAACCCTTGATGGGCCTCCTGTTAAGTCGACACGGCGACTGTCAAACGACCTCCGTCTTCACGGTGCAAGATGGTGCAAGGCGGACAAGGGTTCCAGTTCGGCCCCGACTTCCACCAGCGCAGACCGGTGAAAAACGACATGCCAAAGCCACACACGACATTTCATGATGGATGAGCTCGCCACTCAAAGCTTGGTTGACGTTCGAATGGGAGCAACAAATAAATTTCACAGGTTAAGTGGTTGGATTTCAACCACTAAACCACAATAAGCAAACATGCAAAATGCTTCCCAACAACAAGCATGAAAGGGTACATGCTGGCACGCTAGAGTGGAGGAAACGGCTGTGGCCAGTGAGGCTCATGGGTGCGGTTCATCTGTGAACATCGAGGAGCACTTTGCCCTCGCGGAAACTTATATGGAAGGCAACCAAAACACACATATGGCTGTGGGTCAAAATTAAACCACCAGGGGACCGCAGATTTAAGTCAATGGTTCCATTTACCAGGGTTCCATTTTGGGTACCTATTTTTGACTCACAGCCATATATGCTTGCACACATGGGTGGGGTGCCTCCTTTCTTTGCGGATACCGATGTTGGAAACCGACCATGTCGGGGTTCCCCCATTTTGAGACCAACTGATATGTGGTTCAAATCCCCGCTTGTTCCAAGTTCAAGCAGTCCCGGTTCCAGTGACCAATGAGCAAACACAGTAAATCAAAGTTTTTGCTCAAACGCCTTGGGTGGGGCGGGTTTTACGTGAATCTCACTTGAGAGGTGGGTGAACGAAAGCTAGCCAGCCCGACACATGTACGACCCGGGCATTGCCAAGATATTAAGAATAGCAATCCCAAATCAACATCCAGAAAATCGCTAGGTCCTCCAGTAGAGAGCTTAGAATAAGGGTACCTTTTTTCTGTAGTCTATTTTAGTAGGGAACCCTCCCCCAAAAAAGGGTGAGAAACGGCACTACTGGGGGACCTAGATCATTAGGACTCAAACGTGGAGCAGGTTCTAATGAAACAACTTCCCCAGCAAACATGTGCACGAGACTATGGGATATGCTCGGGCCGGGGCGGGGGCCGGGCCAGGCAAGCCACCCAAACCCTGAAAAAATCAGGCTAGGCAGTGTGGGAAGCTCAGCCCAGCCTAGAACTCCCGCTTAGCCAGCACAGCTGGCTTTCCAAATGATAGTGGATATCTTCTTAAGGTTGATAAGGCAACCAAACGCACAGCTGGCTTTCCGAATGACAAAGAATTTTTGTTTAGGTGGGGCTGCCAAACGCCCATGTTTGCATCATAGTTTGCTCTCGGTCCACCCAACATCTTTGGCCAAGGCGCAAGTGCAAGCCAACCTGCGGGCGAGGCTCTCACAACGACCTTTCCTTTTTGGCCAGTGAGGCCCAGCCATTCAATGGCTTTCCACTGGCAACCACAGGTTTCCAAATTAGGCCGAAGCTTCAGCTGATCCAAGTGAAATCAACTTAAGAATTCCACCACAACCTTCAGCTGATCCAATTTTGAGATGCCAATCAACTGAGAGATGCTAGCCATGAAGAAGCCATCGGCTTGAGAGAATTTGCAGCGAGTTGGCCGCTGCTGGCCGGCAGTAAAAATCGAGAACACAAGATGAGCAAAGGTATGTGCCAGGGTTCGGGCCCTTGAATGACGGCCCCTCGGACATCAAAACGGGTTGCAAGACAATGTCGGCGCAATTTGCCAACTCTTAACACAGTTGCACGGCGCAATTTGCGCGCAGCAGAAACGGCACGGGACCTTGCTACATTGCAGCTCAAACACATGCCAAGGATGCAAGCCAGATGATAGCCCGGCATTTTCAAATGCGTCCACTTCTGCCCAACAGAGGCAACTAAGCTTGCCCTGGCAATCAGCACAGTGCAAGTCGGAGAGCGGTAAGTTGCATTCGACACTCTTTGGAATGAACCCCCTGCCCATTGTCCCAAAGCAACTGCCTCTCACTCCTAGTGCAATTATAGGTGTCCTTTTAGGGGAAATAGGTGGCCCTGGTAGATGGTTAAACCACCAGCTAAACCAGGGCCATGATTTTTTGTTCTAGCAAAACAACCAAAAAGGACACCTATATAAAGGGGGATTCCCTTGTATCACAGAAGTGGGGAGAAACCCCTTGATCAAACAACCCTGCTGGAAAGACTTTGGCATAGCGTGACATGTCGGCTCTTGGGCCTGGGGCTCTTTGGAGAGGAGTCGGGCTGAAGTGACTTCAGCCAGAGTCGCTGGCCAAGTGCTCATGGAAAAAAAAACCGATCAAACTGGAAGGAACATGGGCCCAGAATGGTTGTTTTGTTAATGTCTTCCCAGAAAAGAAACACCAAAGAAGGGTACAACTCGAAAAAGAACCACACCCAACTCAATTTTCGAGTTTCGACTTTGGGGTAGCAATTTCCCCCACAAAATCTTCCAAAGTCTTGGGTGAACACCGCCTTAACTCAACCAATCGGGGCAAAGACCCCAGGTCTGTCTCCCACGTCACGTCCCCCGGGCCTGCCCCGCCAAAGCCTGAGATTCAGCTTTCTCGGTTGCAAGAACGACCCCTCCTCAGCAAAAACATATTAACTTTGTGGTTGGTTTTAAAGGGACACCGGGAGGCAAACCACATTTTTGTTTAAAGACATCTCCCACCTTGGTTGATGTAGCGACCCCTCTGCAAAAAAGCGTCAGCTTGTTGTGGGTCCAAATGGACAATCCGTACTGCTTCAGCCAGCAAACTCAAGTCCAAAGATCCGTTGCCAAATACCCTTTTCAGTTTTCTTCGTGTTTGAGACCATAGGTTGGCTCCAGGGTAAAGGATGAGAGCTTGGCCGAAAGCTTTGGAGTGGCGTGGGGGTCCAACAGCTGAACACGCAAGAGCCGCCGATTGCAGACATGCAGCACACAACATGACTAGCACACCTGCCCTCTGCACATGTCTCGAACACATACGCGCATCAACTGCACAGGCCTCACATGCCCAAGCAATCTAGAACATGAAGGAGCGGCCACACAGCAGCACACCAAGCAAGCCCATGCAACAATCAGAAGCAGATTGAGATAAGAACATGCGTGGGGCGTCGACATGATCCAAGCAAGCAGGCAAGCAAGCAAGCCGGCAGCCAGCAACCCAGCAACCGCGACGATATGTGAGCAAACCAGCCAGCAAGCAAGCGCGATTGCAGCATGCTAAATAAAAACGAAATGAAGCGATTTAAGATTCCCCCCTAATCTGAGCAAACTATGGTTGTTGACTAACCAAATACAGTAAGCAACCTTCATTATTGGTGAAGACCCTCTCTGTGCGCTCATAGGCGGCATTTAATCTGTCTAGACTGGCTGAGACTTTGGCACCCCATTTCGTGGTTGGGATAACGACCTCTGCAAAAAGTGAATAACTTGTGGTGAGTCCAAATCGGAAAATCCGTGCTGTGCAAACAAGCTAAAGTCCAAAGATCCGTTACCAATTATCCTTTTCAGTGTTTTTTCGCGTTTGAGACGCTAGGTTGGTTTTCAGGGTAAAGGATGGGCGCTTGGCCGAAAATCGAACGCCCTGGAGTGGTGTGGGGGGTCCAAACCCATATATAACTTGGTTGACGTTTGGAAGGGGAGCAACACAATATTAATTTTTAGCAGTTGAGTGGTTGGATTTCAGCCACTAAACCACAATAAGTAAAAAAATGTAAAATGTTTCCCAACAACAATCATGATAAGGTCCAAACCCATAAGGCTGTGGGTCCAAACCCTGTACCCCTGGGTGAGCATCAAAACAGGTGGTACATTCATCCGCCCCAAAATGGAGGCATAGGTTCTGAACCATGGCCAGGAGACTTTTCTGAGGGGCCTGGAGACGCCAGCTGGTCGTCCGTGCGAAAAAGAAAAACCACGCTGCAGCCAGGACTCCTCCGCCAGGCCTGGTACCAAGCACTGCAGGACGCCTGACCTCACAGACCGTCACTTGATCATAATCAAAACCCGGCATCTTGGTTGCTGTTGCCCCACCTGCAAAAAGTGAATCACTTTTTGGGGTTGAGTGGAAAGCCCCGAAATTTCCAAAAAAGTTAAAGTCTAAAGATCCAACCCAGTAGCAGTCAAGGCATTAAGATGGTCCACCCAGAACCATGTAAAAAATTAAGCCGGCGGCCGAAGCTATTTATGGTTGGGATTGTCCCTTTCTAACCTTCATCTACCCGGATTTTGATTGTGGCTCACTTGAAACAGTGGCAAGATCTGGCAACGATTGTCCACAATTCATGGGTATGCTCACTTCCGATCGACTGGATTGGTCAAAAGTGCCCAAAAAGCTTCAAGTGCAGGAACTCGGGAAGTGAGTATGGAGGGTCTGGGTGGATCGCCCGAAAAAAGTCCAAACTTTAGATTTACCACTGAAATGCTCCAAACCCAAAAAGCTTAAAAAAAAAAAAAAAACTACTCACTTGAAGCTTCTTTTTCAGGGTCCCCCCTCTTCTTCTGGACTTTAACGGGCCAAAGGGATCACCGCCCGATGACGTCCCCTCCACAAAGGCCTCCTTTGGGGCCCACGTCCCAAGTTCCATTGGTGCGGTGCAGCACCATTTTAATTGCGTGTGGCTCGAAATGAAACGATCGGAGGGGCAAACCGCTGGTTTTTTGGCGCCCATGTGTCCACTCACCAGGCTTGAGTTTGGATTTTTTTTTTGAGCCACGGCCAAATGATAAGAACTGAACCATTTCATAGCTCTCCTTGCCACTTTGTTGGCCCCCGCACCCCCCCCCAAAAAAAGAAAAGAAAAGAGAGAATAAGCTCAGGTGATATCCCCAACAGCATGCGGTGGAACCCTGGTGGAACCCTCGTGGAACCTCGCCTCAGGGCCCCCGCGGACCACCCCGGAGCCTATCTGGGCTGAGACCCCAAAGCTTTCAGCTGTTGGGGAAAAAAGAAAAAGAACAGGGGCAAAGCGCCTGACCCCTTCCACACTGGATGTCCCCCTCAGCTTGCCGACACATTCATCCACGTGACTAGGTCCTCCAGTAGGGAGGATAGAATAAGGGTGCCCGATTTTTTTCTATTTTTGTAGGGGATCGAATCTCCCAACCATGGGTGAGAGGTCGGGCACCTAGCTCGGGGAGCTATAGTTGAGGTTCACTAAAGGGCTCGCAGACCTGCCTCACGCCCATGGAGCAGAAAGTCACCAAACTGTTTGCATTTCACCAATCAAAGATGACTTGTGCGGAGCTACGCCGAGAACCGGCTGAACAAATCTCAAGTTTTCGGGGTCCCGTCACCCCCCGCCCCCGATTCAAGTACAAACACGGCACTTTGTTGACGTTGGAAGGGGAGCATAAATTAATATATTTTAGCAGTCCAGTGGGGATTTCAATCACTAAACCACAATAAGCAAAAATAAGCAAAATGTTTCCCAACAACAACCGAGAACACGGCAGGGGGAGAAATAGGTGTTTCAGTCCAGGAATTCAGGAGGTGAGCCTTGGATCGAAACCAAAAGTTTCCGAAACCAAGTTCAAAGGCCCACGCGCCGCGATCTTGAGCCCCCGGTCATCAGGGTAGCGCCTTACCGACGTGCAATGGCCGAGCCAATGCTCTCGGAAAGAGTGACAAAAGAACCCTCCGTTCCTTTCGCGCTGGGCGACTTGACCCCCAGGAACGTGTGCTGTTGCTTCTCGTCCCATTTTCCATGGAAATGCAAGGATTCAACTGGAACGCAAAGCAAATCGTCATAAATGAACCTAAGCGCGGCTCGAACCTTTGGTCGCCCCGCTCCCAAATAAAGCCAATTCAATCAGTCCCTAAAATCAAATCAAGTCCAAATTTAACTCAACTCGTACCAAGCAAGCAGCCAAACAACATAGCAAGCAAACAAACAAACAAGCAAGCGAGCAAACAAAAAGCTTAAATACAAACAGCACACCCGCAAAACACAAACACGCAAACCAGCCAAGCAACCAAGCAAACAAGTGAACAAATACACAAACACAACCACTCAAACACGTAAGCACGCAAACACGCAAGACACCACGAAAATAGACGGACGGACGGACGGACAGACAAACAGACAGACAAACAGACAAACAGACAAACAGACAAGCAGACAGACAGACAGACAGACAGACAGACAGACAGACAGACAGACAGACAGACAGACAGACAGACAGACAGACAGACAGACAGACAGACAGACAGACAGACACACAGACAGACAGACAGACAGACAGACAGACAGACAGACAGACAGACAGACAGACAGACAGACAGACAGACAGACAGACAGACAAACAGACAAACAGACAAACAGACAAACAGACAAACAGACAAACAGACAAACAAACAGACAGACAGACAGACAGACAAACAAAACAAACAAACAAAACAAAACAAACAAAACAAACAAAACAACACAAACAAACAAACAAACAAACAAACAAACAAACAAACAAACAAACAAACAAACAAACAAACACGCGAACACGCAAACAAACACGAACATCAACGACAAAACAACCGAGCAAACAAGCAAACACGCAAACACAAACGCAATCAAGCAAACAAGCACACACGCACGTAAGCGCGCCAAAAAAAAAACACTAAGAGACAAACAAACAATCAACCAAACAAACAAACACACACACACACACACAAGCACGTCCAGACAAGGAATCAACAACGCCCGAAACGTACGCAGCCTCAAATAAGCTAGTTTGAGCTGAGCGGCTGCAGCGCTGCCGTAGCCAGCTCCACCACGCCTCGGGAGAAATGTGGCAAGCACAGGCGAGTTACGCGCCGACTCCGTGTTTGGATCTCCTGCGAAAAAAAAAATAAAAAATAGTGAATTAAGCCAACTAAACAGTTGTTTTTAGTGGGTTAAACTCGAAAACTACCACGAAGTCAACTAAAAGCCGAAAAACAAAAAAGGGGGGGAAAAACAAAAGCTAAGGGGATGGCTGGGAGCCAGCAAGGATCTGAGATAGGTTTTGCTGTTATAAGCACCCGCAACAAGTGTGGGTCCCTCCTGAATTCTCCTATAACGCGGGTGGGCCCACAACGCTGCCAGCCGCCAACCAAACTGCAGAAGTTCGGGCATGACACCCCTTTAGTGGGAAGTCCGTGGACGAAGCAACGCCTCCCTCATAGACCCGCAAGCCCGAAAGCCCGAAAGCCTAATCCTTGGGGCCGCAACTGTGCCTGGGCCGCTGGAAAACGCCCCCAACAAACTTCGAGGGGCGGCTCTTCAACCCCTCAATGCCTTAAACAAACCAAACACTTCAAGAAGAAACTCCTCAAAACGCCAATGCCTTTTCTAATCCAGAGCAAGACCAGGCTATCCGAAAGGGCACTGAAAACACCCACGAACCTCGAGAAAAACATAGTGGCTATGGCAGCAGTTACTCGCAGCAAGGTGAGAATAGGCAGACAAGCTCATCTTCCATACACACCGAAGCAGAGTTCTGTTCATTCTGGGGGATGGTTCCTGTAGTCAGTGGCTGTGGTGCGTTTGTTTGTGGGTGGTGTTGCCTTTTGTACTTTCCCATTTGTTCTCTAGTGGTTGGCCAGCAGTTCCGCACAAAGTGTGTTTTCTTCTTGCCCTTTTGCTAAAGAACTCCGCTCTTCACCAAGGGATCCCGCGCAAAAGTGCAGCAAGGTGTTGATGTCGTCAACCAGCGCATGGATGATCGCAGACCCCCCCCCCCCTTTCCGCCGCATCACCAGTTTATGATTTCCGCCGTGTCCATAGCAGCTATCCCGGGGTTCAAATATTCACCCTTAAAACCCAGGGAGTCAATGCAACCGATTACCGAAAGAGTCTCATCATCCAAATTGGGTCCTTGCCAGTCTTGTAATGGGGGCAAGGCACCCTAGGAGTAATACGGGAAACCTCGACGCGTCTGGCTGAACACTCCCGGGCCCAAGGTGCATGAGATTCTGCACTCGAAAGGTTGCCCTTTGATTCAGCAAACCGGATGGAACATCGCCCATCCGGTCCGCAAAGGAAGTGAACAAATGCAAATCCTGGCCTATTGGCTTTTTTCACTGCCCAGAGCCTTTCACTGCAAAAAAAGACACGTTTCCACACTAGTGGGAAAGCCACCCCATTTCCCAAAGAGCAGGTTGCAGTTCGACCGAACAGCATGAATTGGTTGCTACTCACTTGTGGATTGGCAAAAAAAGGGGCCACACTTTCTATTTGCTCCTGCTAAAAGCTTAACTTGTAGTGGGTTAGATTGACACCCCCACTAAGCCCTAAAAATCGAAGAAAAACAAACTAGGGAGCTGGCCGATTCGCGAGGAACCATTCAGGAAGCTGGTCCAAACCCATTTCATATGGCTATAAATTCTAACAAGGGACCCTTTAGTGGACATCATTTCGGTGTCATGTCCACCAACCACTTGAACTCATGGCCAAATGGGTATGGGTCAAAACTAAACCACCAGATAACGCAGATCTCGGTGCATGTGTCCATGTACCAGGGCAACCCATTTTGGGTACCTATTTCTGACTCAAGCCCGAGCCTCGGGCTTTCTGGTGAGCGAATGGTCTAAAGCTCCTTCCCGTTTCTTTCCAGGGATCCGAGTCTTTCTGGAAAACCTCCGGGAAGCCCAGGTTGAAAACGGCTCCGGTTTTTGGAAAGAACCATGGTTGAAAAGAATGGACAAGGAACCCTGGACAAGCATAGGCCGTCCTTTTTGGGTTGCAGAAACTCCATGGCAATCCTTGGTTGACCTGTTTCAGAATCTACTGGGGCCATCTATGTTCCGAATTAACCACCAGAAATTGGGTTGAAAAGCCTGTCCATTTCGGAAACCCCCCCAAAAATTGGTTGAAAAGAATGGGGAACCCTACAAGGTCCCCCCAAAAACCTCCTCTTCCGAATCAACCCCTAGGTCCTCCAGTAGAGAGGATAGAATAAGAGTACCAACTTTTTCAGTTGTCAAAATTTTAGTAGAGGAACCCTCCCCAAAAAAAGAAAGGGAAAAGGGGCCCCTAGCTGGGGGACCTAGATCAAGACTCACACGTGGAGCAGGTTCTACTGAAACAAAAACCGCCCAGCAAGCATGTGCTCGAGACATGAATCAACCAACAGGAAACCCCAGGAAGTGACAAAAGGACGCTGGGGGAATCAACCCCAGCAATTGGGCCAAAGTGGCCGAGTCGTCCCGCGGCTTCGCGGTTCACGTGGTGGCGCTTCGCCAGGTGCCAGAGGGCCTCAATGCAACCGCGGGAATGCCCCGATTTTTCAGGTGGGCCTAAAACCATCTCAAACAAAAAGAAAAGTTTCTTTCTTTGGGTAGGGCCTACGACCCCCGTGTCTTTCCTTTTTTCCTCCTTTTTTTCTGTGTGTGCCTCAAAGCAATGGCTCGCTCAAAAAACAAAGAGCACCCCATGTCGCGGGCCTGAAAAAAGGGACACACCCACCCACACACAACTGACGAAAGCTAAAGGAGCAGCCGGGCCTTTCTCAAAATTTGCATTCGACCCTTCTGAGCCTCTCCTTCCAAACCGCCTCAGCCAGACACTGGAGGAATGCCCCCCGGTTTTGGGTGGGCTCAAGGGAAACCAACGCCTCCATTTGCTTGAGTCCCCTGTGGGAAAAATAGAACATATTTCCAGTAGTGATAGATTCCCTTTAAAACCAACAGGGAAAAAATAACAACAACATACTCTGAACCAAATGGAAGAAAGGAAACCCCACCACATGTGGTTGTCCTAAACCAAACACATATCCAAATGCACTAAGCCTCCCCTTCCCAATGCAACCGCGCCTCTGTTCTTGTGCTTTCTGCTTTTTGAGGATTGTTAGCCTTGTGCCTTGTTGCAGCTACCTTGCTGAATCAGCCACTGCAGCAAACCCTCACGCAGCCACGTGCACAACAACTTCCATGAGTATATATATATATACTATATGGCTGTGGGTCACAAATAGGGTAACCCCAAAATGGGTTGCCCTGGCAAATGGAAACATGGACTAAAACCTGTGGTTCGTTGCTGGTTGAATTTTGACCCATACCCATATACATATTATAGTGCCCAAAAATGTCGTTCGGCCAGTCCGTCCCTGCAAGAAACTTTCTCAAACTTTGGCCAAAAGCTCATAACTTTCTCATGCAGAAAGCCGCGCCAAATGAACGTCATGGAGTCTGAAACGCTAGCCTATTTTTATGAGGTTCTTAAGGGGGGGCTGTGGGGGGGGTGGTGGATGGGGGTGGACCGGGGAGCCCCAGAAACTTTCTCCCCTTACACCCCCCTCCCTTAAGAACCCCATAATATTTGCAGCGTTTCTTTGTGGACTCGGGGTGACGTCACACTAACAAGGGTCTCTTTGGCATTCGGAGGGGAAGTACACCTTGGCGCCAAAGCCATGCGTGCCCCCCGCCCCCTCAGCCATCGATCGCATCTAGCATCAACAGCTCCACCCCTTGCCTGCTCCTTACACCCCAGCGAGTGCGACGAGGAATTCTAAGAAAACAATTGAGGACCCTGGGCTCTTCATGAAACCACTTTGCAAAAAAAAACAGGGCCCAGGACGTACCCTTCTGTTTGCAAAAGGCTTGCAACTGGCAGTTTGCAGAAAGGGCTCAGAACTCCAAAGCACAAACAAACAGTGCAGAAAGAAGAACCCTCATGAGACTCGGATCCTGCATGACGTGTGGCGCGGCATAATTGAGGCTTTGCTGAGGCTTCAGATCCTATAGTGTCACAAGCATGAGCAACATTTGGTTATCGCCAAGCTCCTGGTCCTAATTACCATGTCAACATGCCACCCCGCACGAGCCTAGCTCTGGGCCCGTCGACCCCATAGCTGAATCAGCTTGGGGGGGGAATGAACACCAGCCCATTTTGTGGGTCCCCCCCAAAAAAAAAGACATCCCTAAATGCAGTAAGCTAAAAGCAACCAACAAAACCACGACTTTGCTCCAGATTTAGCCTTCTCTGATATCATAACTCCTGTCTTTTATTGGAGGCCCAAGTTGTATGAGTTCTTCAGCACCCTTCCCCCCCCTTCCCCTACTCTTTTGGGGCGTAGCCGACTGGAAAAATCTTCGGGCGCCGCGCTCCCAGCGCCGCAGTGGCCACCTCGAGACTCGCAGCGCCGCGGTGTCTCTCGTCGACTTTGTTGTCTTCAGGTCCCGAAACATTAAAAAAATGCGCGGGGCGCATGAGTCCTTATTAAAACCGATCGGAGATAGGAGCAGGCCGTGATCCCGGAATCATGTAAGGAATAAAACTAGGCTGGAATTAGAACCCCAGCAAAAATATATATATATATATATATATATATTTGCCTCAGTGGAAAACCAAAGGACTCCCAAAAAAGCAAAAAAGCAAAAAGGGGAGCTAATTCTGGGGAAGAGAAAAGGCGGCGAAGGCAAACGTTGATGGTTGGGAGTCTCCCCTGACCTTCATCTCACCTGGATTTTGACTGTGGCTCACCTGGTTCGAACATGTTTCAGCTGTTTTGGATTGGCGGTCCAAGAAGGGGCCCCAATTTGGACCTCGGATTGGTGACATCCGCGGGCTGACGTGGGGAAATGACCAGCTGGTAAGAAAAAGGAACCCTGACCCACATCCGTCAATGTGTAATGGCAGGTGGCGAACCAGCTAGGAAGTCAAACACCCCAGCCACTCTCCCGCAAAACAGTTGTGGGTTGATGCGTCTCACGCTTTTCTGGGACACCCTCCGTCCCCCCGCAGGGTCCCCAGGTACAACCATAGGTGTCCTTTTGGGGCAAATAGATGGATATCCCTGGTAGATGATCTTGCACCACCAGGTAAACCAGGGATCGCCATCTACTTTTTGACCAAATTCACCAAAAAGGACACCTGAGTCCCAATCAAAACCGATCGGTACAAGAATAGTGAACCCAGAACCATGCTTCAAGAATTCGCCAGGCGGAAATTTCCGCAACCTTTTTTCCGGCTGCTGTCCCTTACTCACCGGATCATCAATCCCTCACTTCCCAAGTTGACTGGCCAAAAAACGCTTGAACTTTGTATTTACCACTAAAATGGTCTTTCCAAAAAGTTTAAAGTCCACCAACTCAGGAAGTGAGACCCCGGGTTTTGAGTCACGCACGCGGCTCACCTCTGGGTACAACCCTCAAGCCCCGCCAGAGTTGGGGCAGACTCCGGGCAACGGGGCGCGGGCCATGCACCGCCCGTGATGAGCATGCAAAGCAGCAACCACCTGAGCCGTTCGCCGGATGCTTTTTTATTCAAGTGGGTTCATGATTAGAGGTAGGCCCAGTTATAGAATGTATATTTTACTGGTTGCTTCACTTTGAAATGTAAAATGTATCCTAAGTCTACACTAGGGTCTGCTTTTTTTTGGTGGGCACCCCCTTTTGGTTGGCTTCAAAGGGACACCGTCCCACCCATTTTGGCGGGTCCGAATATCTCAACATGACACGGCCAAGGTGGAGATCTTTGGGTTCTGGTGCATCTGATAAACAAGTCGGACCTGGACAAAGGTGAGCCTTGAACCCACCCAGTCCCCGTCCCCAACCCACGAATGTCGACAGTGGAAACTTGGAACCAGCGATGAGGCGGGCTTGCAACATGCGGCTGTTGGATCGGAGGTGGCTATCAACCAAAGCTGGAAAACCCGAATCGGTAGACCAAATTGTTGAACGATCGGTTTTGGGCCGTTTTGGGTTCGGAATTCGAAGCAGCACCATCCGCAAGACCCAACCGCACCGGGCGATTCCAGCAGGACTCATTCGACTCCTTGTTGCATGAGATGACACCGATCCACTTGCCAAAGTCACATCCAAGAACAACCAGCCTGAAAAGGCTATGGTGTTACATGTTCGCCACTCCGCAGGTATCATCTTGGTTGACATTGGAAGGGGAGCAAAAATTCTCAAATTTTAGCAGTTATGTGATTGGATTTCAACCACTAAACCACAACAAGCAACAATCAGCAAATGTTTCCCAACAACAACCATGTCATGTCATTCGTGAATTGCAATGATGATGTCCTCAGAGAGGCTCCATCGAGTCTTCCGTCGCAAACCTCCGAGCTCCGTTGCCACTGGCAGCACTTTGCATCCAGGGTGTCCTTTTGTTTCGTGGGACACCCGTGTTATTTTTTAGGGTTGTGAGGGGTCCCTCCAAACACCTGTCCATGTTCAGTTGGAAGCCCAAATCGGTTGTTTTTTCCTTTTTTCTACCCCCACCTTCCCCGTTCTTTCCAGGGATCCGAATCTTTCTAGAAATCCTCCTGAAACCCTGGTTGAAAACAGCCAGTTTTAGGAAATAACGCTGGTTGAAAACCATGGAAAAGGAAAACCAACCCCTAGAAGGTCCCTCCAAACGCCTGTCCATTTGTAGCTAGACCCCCCCAAAAATCGCTTGCCTTTTTGAGCTCCAAGCACTCGCCTTCACAAAAGCCGACGGATCCCACCTCCCGCCGCCAGCCGGCTGACGGCTCGGACCTGGGGCCTCGGGCCCGTTGCAGGCCGCCCGCAGAGGCCACCGCGGCCTGGAGAAAACGAGGCCAAAAAGCTGGCGGCTGGGCCATGTGGCCCGTGGATGCCTCCCACGTCCGGCGGAAACAAACAAAACAAAATCACCTCATGAGTTTCCGGCGGTTGGGCCATGTGGCCCAAGAAAACAGGAGCACAAAGGCCCATGGATGCCTCCACGTACGGCAAACAGGGCGGCCCATGGATGCACCAAGGCCCATGAAGCATCTCCACGTCCGGCGAAAAACACAAATCACGGTGTTTGGCCATGTCGGATGGGAGCATTCGCGGAGAAAGACCAAGGCCCAAAGAACGCCCAGACGTGCAAAGAACGCGGAGACGCGCAAAGAAACGCCACTTTTCCGGCTGCTCTTTGCCAGGCCCATGGCAAGTACAGAACTTGGCCAACTGGGCAAGTCTGTGCTCGGTGAGCGGTTTGCCCTTTGCCCCCAGCTTTGGAACATCGAGGCCAAGCCGAAGAATGTGGCCGAACTAAAATATGGAACCCAGAATCGATTGAGTTATAAAAGTGTCTCTGACGGAATCCCTTTGTTGACATTTTCCTTGTGGCCTCCTTTTAGGGGGAAACAGACCAACATGTGGGCTCTTTAACACCCATGGGCCCATGATAGTTTGGGCAATGCAACCCCCCGGCTGAATGGAACTTGCGTTGATTCATGGGGGTCGGGTTGAGTTGTAAAAGTATCTCCTTGGAGGGAAGTATCTCCTTGGAGGGAATCCTTTTGTTGAGATTCCCTTGTGGCCTCCTTTCCATACCAACACTCAATGGAACTTTTGCTGATTCACAGGGGCTGGGTGTCCACTTTGCGGGGAACACACCCGCCTCTCCGCTGGGCGGCCCTCAGATCCCCTGCTAAAAACTGTTTAACTTTTAAGAGTTAAATTCGGAAATCCCACCACTAAACCCAAAAAAGCTAAAAAGCTAAAAAGCTAATAAGCTAAGGGGAAATCCCACCACTAAACCCTAAAAAGCTAAAAAGCTAAGGGGAAATCCCACCACTAAACCCTAAAAAGCTAAAAAGCTAAAAAGCTAAGGGGAAATCCCACCACTAAACCCTAAAAAGCTAAAAAGCTAAAAAGCTAAAAAGCTAAGCGGAATCCCACCACTAAACCCTAAAAAGCTAAAAAGCTAAAAAGCTAAGGGAAAATCACACCACTAAACCCTAAAAAGCTAAAAAGCTAAAAAGCTAAGGGAAAATCCCACCACTAAACCCTAAAAAGCTAAAAAGCTAAAAAGCTAAAAAGCTAAAAAACTAAAAATCTAAAAAGCTAAACAGCTAAAAAGCTAAGGGAAAATCCCACCACTAAACCCCAAAAGCCAAAAAGCTTAAAAAGCTAATAAGCTAAGGGGAAATCCCACCACTAAACCATAAAAAGCTAAAAAGCTAAATAAGCTAAGGGGAAATCCCACCACTAAACCCTAAAAAGCTAATAAGCTAATAAGCTAATAAGCTAATAAGCTAAGGGGAAATCCCACCACTAAACCCTAAAAAAAGCTAAACAAAAAAAGTAAAAAATCAGCTAAGGGACCGGACCGGATGGCCTTCGGGAGCCACCAAGCCACCCAGTCGCCTCTTTCCCCGCCTGGTTGTTGGGATTCTTCGCCGCCAGGTTCCCCAGCGCCCCACAGGCCATGGACTGGAGCCGCACCTGGGCGCAACGAACCACGCGACGTTTTCCTTTTTCCAAAACCACCAAAAACGGGGAGCATCAAAAAAAGACACACCCAAAGAAAGGGACCAGGATATAAAAGGTCAACCGTTTGGGGCCAGACTACATGTGGCCAAACCATTAAACCAAAAGGTTAACAGGTCGATTCGCCTTGGGCAAGTAAGTCAAGCAACGAAGCGAGCAACAAATAAATCAAGCACGCAACAAAGCAATCCATACAAAGCAAGCAACCAGCAACAAAACAACCTGCCAAGAAACAAGCTTCCGCCCGCAGGGGCCAGGAAACAACTGCTTCTTCCGCAACCGCGACGCCCAAACTGTCAAAGGTTGGCCGCATGCCATCCACGCGACTCAATTCGGCGTCCCGAATCAAGTCCATTAGATGCTTGATCTAGGCAGATCGGGTCAGTATTCAGGGCGTTCCCGTGGCGAACCAGACATATGTAGCACAAAATGCTTGTAACTGCAGCGCGCGTTTTCAGGAACACCCGAGCTGGGCATCTCTTGCCTGGCTTCGCGTTCACCATGACAACGCCATCCTTTCAGATCGAGATTTGGCCATGGGCCAAAACCCAAATCGTACCCCCAGTGAACATCCCAATATTCACTAAAATAGACTAAAATGGAGGTGCACCTACCCCAAAATTGGATCCCGTTGGTTTTAACCCACAGCCACCCACAGCCATTTGAGCTGGCTGATTGAATCAGCATGCAGCATGCATCTTCTGCCACAGTTGCGAAAGGGAGCACTAAGCAAGGAATCCACCGCGAGAGGCGCAAGACAAAGGCCAATAATTGGCAAGGTGTGTGCACACCGATCTTTCATGTGCGAGCATGGCGGATGGATGCGAATGGGGGGGGGGGGCACAAGTTGAATTCACCGACAGATCCGCTAAGAAACCTATCAACTAACCGGGCGCTTGTTAATCCTGGGTTCCCAGTCATCTAGGAACTCGAAAACGAACAAACGAACAAAAAAAACCTATCTCCCATGGAACCGACTCACTCCCCCAGGACTCTAGGCCGCGAACGTGCTGCGGAAAGTTGACCATGGCGGTCAGTATCACCTGACCAGAGAGATCATCAAAGGCATGGCCCGTGGGTGTGGCGCAACCTGCGTTGCTCACAGCACGTTGGAGGGTTCAACAGTTTTCAAAGGTGCTAGAATCAAGAGCTACAGCTCAGTTGTCCAAACAACCAACACATAAAAGAATAACCTTTTGGGGCCATGACTTAAAATGGACCAACAAAGGGAAACCAGGTCAAAGGGTCAAACTTTGGGCAAGTGAGACAGTGTGCCACCATCTCCGCCCCTGTTGAAAGGAGCAAGACTGGTGAGACTGATGTGTATCGGCAGCGCCCCTCTCAATGCAAAATCGGACGGGCCGGGCGGAAAGCTTGCCAATCTGTTGCGGCGCCTGCTTGCTACATGGAGTGGTGCAGGCCAATGATGTGCGCAAACAACGGGCAGGCAAATCAAAGGCTGAAAGCGCCACCTCTCTGCAGAATCAGCTGTTGGTATATGGAGCCTGCCCATGGCCACGAAGGAATGCTAGCACAGAAGATGATTTGAGCATCCCCCCCAACAATCGTCAATGTTCAACTCAGGATGCGCCAGCGCGTGTCCAAAAGGCCTCACAAACAAGGCCTTCTTGGCACCAAAAGGCATGCGACTTGGATTCATGGCACGGGGCGCCAAACAAGAGCCTTTGTCAGCTGGCAACATTTTCTGAATCAAGGCTAACTATAGGCCAATACCGGAGTACTCCTGAGGAGGCAGCATAGGTATATAAATATATACATATATGTACATAATGTAGTTATGCTCAACAATGTTTTAATGTTCGTAGCAATGTAGGGGGCACACTGTGGTTCTGGGACAGCCACGCATTTTTGCGAGAAGCAATCTTCCAACCTGCGTCAACTCAGGGCTCACAAGGCAGGCACACCTATTCAGGGTACAGTCTTCGCATCAGCGTCGCTAAATCCGCCCAGGATACAACGCAACACGAAAGTGTGCAATGATTGGTGCAGCGGATCCAGAAACGCGAATGGTTTAGACAGGGCATGAATTTGGCAAAAGCAAAGCTGTCCACAACAAACCAGATCTGGGAGCCACGGGAGCTTTTCGGGATCACAAGTCAAGCCAAGTGCAAAAAAAGCCTGCCTCTATGCTGCCGCATGCCATGATCGAAGACCTACAGCCAGAAAAGCAGCTGCCACGAGCACCAGCAACTTCTGGCGGCCAAAAGGTGATCGTGTATTGCTTCAAAGGCTCTTGCCCAAATGAGCTAGAAATCAAAGGTTACATTTACGAAAGGTGGACCAAAGAGGGAAAACGAAAAGGTTCAAAGGTTGGCATTGACAGCTGCGCCGAACGATCGCCTGTGCCTTAGGGGCAAAGACTCATCGATTGAATCGGCCTGGAGAAAGAAGACAATGGAAGTGAACCATCGACCAGAACTTGGAGCTTTCGTCGCGCGACTCAGCTTGGGGCTTACCTCTGCCGTTTTTTTTTGTTTTTTTTTTGTGGTTTTTTTCCCCCCTTTTTTCCGATGTTTAAACGATTGACATCCTGATTCTGACGACCCCCCTCAAGACGTCCGGCTGCTCCTCTCTTATGGAATCACATCGCGAGCCCTCTAGACTCGAGACATGGGTGTCTCTGCTTTTTCGAGAAAAAAGCCTTTTGGTTGGTGCTCGTCTCTTTTCTTGCCCAATTATCTTCTTCTCTTTTCTTTTGCCACACGAAGCCTCGGAAAGAATGCAAACCAGATGCGTGACGATGCGCATCAGCTGCCCCTAGCAAAGAAGGACAATTTTGAGGTCCCAGGACAGGCCCTGCAGTAGGGAGGTTAGAAAAAGGGTACCCATTTTTTCTGTAGTCTATTCTAGTAGGGGAACCCTTTTCCATCAAAGGGTCAAAGGGCACTACTGGGGGACCTAGTGGGGGTCACCCACGTACGCAAGTCGCTGGCCGCTGGCGCTTTCGACCTTAGGCCTGGACTGATTCAGCAGGTGGTTCGACGCCAAGCCTGAGCGAGATGCTGCCGCGCAAAAGATGGACGACGTCATGGGTCCCGAGGGGAAGGTGGAGGAGGAGGGGAGGAGGAGGTCCTGAAGGTGTTTTTTAGAGGAGGAGGTTATTTCTTGCCAAGTGACGCGCACTAGCTACATAATCGAATGCAATTAATCTCTGTCAGTGAAAGGGATTCGATGGGTATGTCCAATTTCTTACCCCTTATCTTTGATAGTCTTCAATCGATTTCAAAACACGTTGAGAGCCCAAAAGCATTGGTGGAGGCATGTCCGCGATCATGCCCCCGATTCCCACGCTGCCGCTCCGTTGGACAATTTTCTCAAACCTGACCAGGTTCTATGCATGGCCGCCTGAGCAATCAAAAATGATCGGTACAAAAAATAGTTATGGGGGTTAACCATTTTGGCCAAAAGTGGAGCAAGCGGCCGAAGTGGAGAATCGGTCACAAACAAAAATGTCCAAAATGGTTAACCCAAAGCCATGTAAAGAATTGGAAAGGCGGATGTCCGCAAGTATTTTTCCGGCTGGGACTGCCCCTAACCTTCATCAATCCCCACGTTTTGAGCACGTGGCTCACCTCCAACTTCTTCCCTGCCCAAAGAGGTGACCGCAGCCCACGGCGCGAAGCATTCGCCCGCTGGGTGTTCTCCCGGGAAGCAAAAAGGGGGTGCTGCGGCCGTGGGTCAAAAATGGGTACCCAAAATGGAACCCAGGTAAATGGAAACATGGACTAAAACCTGTGGCGCTCTGGTGGTTTAATTTCTTTGAAGATTTCAGGAAGCAATTGCCAGAAGCGGAACCACTTGGCAATAAGTACGTAAGAGAATGCCGGAAAGGATTGTTTTTTTGTTTTTGTTTTTTTTTTTTCCCGTTGCCGTTTGCCCCCCTCTTGCAAATGGTGAAGCAATCCAAAACCAATCGGGTCCAAACATAACTCATACTTTGGCCTCGGCCCAACAGAATTCCCTACAGTCATTACCCCACCTAATCGGCCCTTAATCGGGTCATGCATGCTCTAACCGGAGAAGCAGGGGGGAAACAAAGCCCGACCCATGAAATAGAGCCCCTGGATATAAAGGGAAGCCAAAAGACACCATTGCCACAGAGAGCAAAGTGTTGCATACGCAAATGACGCAAAGCAATCAAACAGACAGACAGACAGACAAACAGACAGACAGACAAACAAACAGCACAAGCAAACAAATAGACAAACAAACAACACAAACACACCAAACAAGCAAGCACACAGACAAACAAGATGACAAACAAACAGAACAAACAAACAACAAACGTACCGACAAACAAACAAACAAACAAACAAACAAACAAACAAACAAACAAACAAACAAACGTACCGACAAACAAACAAACAAACAAACAAACAAACAAACAAACAAACAAACAAACAAACAAACATAACAAAGGAAGGATGGACGGAAGGAAGGAATAAACAAAACAAGCCACAAACAAATAAGACAAACATGATTGACGCATATACAGATATATATATATACATATAAACATGAAAGTAACACGTATATACATATATGTTAACACACACATATTTACATATACATATATCTATACATATATACATATACGCATATGGCAAACATGTGCGTGTGTGTGTGTCACGTAGCCCTCCACTCCCCATCGCATCGCCTGCCAGGGCGGCACAGGCAGATGCCTGCAGCCTGAGCTCGGAGGAATGTGGTTCGAATGAGCTCGGTTCGAATCGTAGCAACTCTCCAGGGGCAACTTCCATTTCTATTCTTTCCAGGAAGCCTTCTTTCTAGAAAACCACCAAAAACCCTGGGGAATTGGCTGGTTTTGAAAAGAACGATGGGTGAAAAGAATGGGGAATCAACCCCTAGAAATTCAGACCTACCCTCCTGTCCACTGACATGGAACCCACCTGTCCACGTGCATTTTGCAAGAATTGGTCTTCCAAAACCCTCAGTCAGTCTCCATGTTAGTGGACAGGCTACCTGAAAGAAGAACAGGTCAAACTAATTTACCCTGAGGCTCATGACCCCTATGCAGGCCCCGGGCCCTCCAATGAAAAACCCAGACCTCTCAGGGGCGCATCAAATCAATCTTCAGGGCCCAAAAATAATTGGGAGCCTCAGGGTAGTTGACCTCTCGCCGTTTGGTTCGCAGACTCTTGCGGTTGGGTCTATTTGGAGTTTGTCGAAACATGCGTATGATTCAGCTCAGTAAAATGTTCATCTTGCCCCAAGCAAGAAAATAAATACCCACTGTCACAAACACACACTCTATACATATATATATATACACACGTACATACACACACACACATATATATATATATGTATACACATGTATATATATATATATATATGCATAGACTTGAGAGGCACCAACAAGGTGTGGCAACATGCTCCCCGTGATGTCTATGTATGTGTATATATCTATTTGCTATCTACAGTTGGGATTACTTGGGGCTTGGGGCACGCTTGCCACTGGTTCTGACGCGTTACTCGTCTCGCAAGCCGCAGCCTGGCAGGATCCAGAACTTGATCCAACACCCAGCCAAAGCAAACATATGGGTGTCTCAAAGCAGGGCAACCATGTGAACCACCAAAAAGGTTGGGTTCGTGTGGATTCCATTTCTTGGTTGTTGACCCCCCTGCAAAAGTTTAACTTTTTGGGGGTTGCCCTATAGCAGTCATGCATTTTTGTACCGATCGGTTTTGCAAGGATTGATCCTTACATTATACACCTGAACATTGCCTTGTAAATGGTGGTGTCCCGTTGTTTTGGTGGAAAAAGCCTATAGCAGTCAAGAAAGGGTGCCAAGACAAAAACCAACAAGACCCATATTCGATTCGCCCAGCCAAAGTCCTGGGCGTCCGGCTCCGGGTCTCCCGGAAATCTGCGCATGGCCTCAGCGATGCAAAGTCCCACGGACGCAGACAGGGATCCGGATGCATTATACACCTGAACATTGCAACTTGTCAATGGTGGCTTCCCTTCATTTTGGTGAAAAGCAACATGTTTCAAATGGTTGCAAACTGTATCTTTTAAGGAGCCCTGTCAGACTAGATTCCTTTCACCGGATACCCACGAGCATAACTCGGCTGCTTTCTGACCAGCGAGTCTTGGGGGTTACAGAACGGGGAGGTGAGGTCCCATGACAAACCTTCCTTCCCCCAACTTCCCTCTGTTGCTAAATCTGCGAAGCCCTGCTACAAGTGAATAGCTTTTACTGGTTTAATTCGGAAAACCAACATGAGTTGGCAAACAGTTATAAAGTCCTAACATCCAAGCAACATGGACCAAAGATGAGGCTTTGGCGCCGTAACCCCAGTGGGTGGATGGCTTCCCTTCAAACACAATCCATTCATATGTAAAAAGCAGAGCTTGCCAGGACATTCCAAGACAAATGGCACCTACAGATCAACATGAAGACTAAACAGGTCAACTGCCAGTTCTGAAACACACGCCACATACTCACATTTATGGCATTAAACAAACGTAACTTGGGAAGGGCTGACGGCGGCCCAAAAGCTGGCACTGCTGTCCCCCAAAATGTGCCAAACGCACGCGTGGCATCTGACAATCGTTGTGTTTCCTCGTCGCTTCACAGTTTCACATAGTCCCAAAGCATCATTAATGTGCCTCTACATGAGTCATACTCAAAACCGATGAATCTTACTCACCTTTCATCTACCACGAGGCTCACATGACGAAGCAATACACTGCTCTTGTCCTCCCATGCGGGGGTCGTGTCTCAGCATGCCCTTTTTGGACATGCTATCCTCCATTTGCTCAAGTCCCCTGGAAAAATAACAACACCATTTCCAGCAGTGAAATCGATTCCCTTCAAAACCACCAGGGGATTGAAAAAACACTTAACCAAATACCCTTTTTGGAAAGGTTCTGGAACCGTTTTGGGCACCTCTTCCCTGAGAGGCTGGCTGCCACCACCTCCTCCACGGCGCCGTTGGTACTTGCAGCCTCAGCCAGGTGCCAACGGGTGAACCAACCGGGCAAAGTGAAAGTGTGGCTGGTTTCCCCACCCAAAAACAAACAACATGATCTCCCCCCATTAAACAAAATGATGAAGAATAAACCAAGAAGAAGAGAAGATCCCCCCAACCCAAAAAAAAACGATCTCCTCTAAAACCAGTTGAAGGTGGACGTTTGTTCTTTCAACAATCAAGGAGCACTCTATAAGGCAGCCTGTGTAAGCTGGAACTGCTTATCTCGGCGCACAATGGCGGTTTCGCTATTGTCGCCCACGGTGGTTGCGGGATGATGACGCTTGGGCCAGACTGGTCCAAAGCACTGAGAAAAGTTCACCGGCGTCGTCCAGCGTATGTACATGTCGCCCTGGAGCCTTTCCTGTTGGGACGCGGGGTTATCATACTCAAGCTGCAGTGTTGGCAGAAGCACACTTCCTGAGTGGATGGCCCAAAAAAAGTTCACTATTTGTGTATTCAAAATCCGCAAACTCAGGAAGCGAGAAAAAAAACGGCGGAAGTCATGGGTATGTGCCGTGTGCCGAGTGGCAACTGCTTCAACCCTGGTGACTAAGCCCTGGTTGACGTGAGCTCACAGGCCCGGGGAAGCCCGCACGGCCAGACCCCTTCTGCGCTACCCACGTTTTCGCAGCTCCTCCTGCCGGCAGCCCTCCGCGTCGAGCGTCACATGCATCCTTTCCAACATCTGGCCGTGGGTCAAAGTCCAAATCGTAGCCCCGGAGAATCCCGGTGAACATCCCAATCCCCACCAAAATAGGTTCTAAAATGGGCGGTGCACCTACCCCAAAATGGGATCCCATTGGTGTTGACCCACATCTGAGGCTGGACAACTGTGATCATCCGAACAAATTGGACCAAGCGATGCCGCGAATCACGGGACGGATACCAAGTCGAGTTCGGCATTGCGATGACAACCTAGGATCCCTATGGTCAAACACGTGCTGGAAACCCTGACCTCTCCACAGCCAACAGGTCAACAGGCACCCACCAAAACAGCGTAGTCCCATAGACACATGCCAGAAACATATTCTTCAGCTTCCCCTGACAGGCGGTTTGTATTGGGTGCTTTGGTGGTTAAGGACAGTTTCCCCATCTCCCCTCTCCAAGAACCAGGGCTTCCAACCCCACTCAAGCACCCCGACGCACTCAAAAGGCTTGGCTCATGGGGACTGTCCGAGCTTCCCAGCCCGTGGCACACCGCCACAACATGGTTGGCGTTGGGTTTGGGGAGAAAATATATATATATATATATATCAAATTTGAGCAGCCAAGTGGATTTGGATTCCAACCAAACTAAACCACAAGAAGCTCAAAAATGAGCAAAGTGTTTCTTTCCCAACGACAACCAAGACAAGAAAAGTCACCCACGTCCGGCACTCACGACGTCAGGTTCGGTTCTTTGGGACTTCCTCAACGGGCTCCAAGAAATAGATCCGAACTCGCTCGCTTCCGATCCGGTTGGCCAAAGAAAAGCAGCCGCCAGGTTTACTTCTAAAAAAACAAATTGGTCCAAAGATGTCCAAACCAAACCCGAAAAATAAACAAATAAAGCTCAAAGATAAAAGAAGTCCAAACAAATGGTCCAAACAGGTCCAAACACGAAAAATAAAAATAAAGTTCAGTTTACCTGGGGAGTGAGTTCAATCAGATGCGATTCGATGAACCCACCGAAATTCGATGAACCCCCCGCTCCAAAACGCCGGATCCAGGGGTCCCTGTGAGTCGAAGAAAACCCCTTCGCGGGGAGTCGGTATGGATGATCGTGTTTTTTTTTTGCGTTTAAGACACTAGGTTGGTTTTCAGGGTAAAGGATGGGCGCTTGGCCGAAAATCGAACGCCCTTGAGTGGTGTGGGGGGTCCAAACCCATAACTTGGTTGAATTTGGGTTTGGGGAGCAAGAACATTTCCAAATTTGAGCAGCCAAGTGGATTTGGATTTCAACAAAACTAAACCACAATAAGCAAACATGGGAAACATGTTCCCAACAACAAGCGAGTACAGAAGTGTTTCTGCAGGAACTTGGCCAAACACCCAGGATTTCCTGTAGATGTCATCCTGCTTTTTTAATGAACCCTCCTTGCCCTTGGTTTAAGGGGTGAATGAAAGGGACAACCACACCATGTAGGTCTGAAAAACAATCCACCCACTGGATGTGTCGGTTGCTTGAGGTTTGACTCGTCATTGTTTTCAACCATCGTTCTATTCAAACACCAGCCGGATTTTCGGGTTTCTGGAGGTTTTCTTGAAAGATTCGGATCCCTGGAAGGACTGGGGAACTTCACAACCCTTGGCATGATAGCAAACAATACTCATCTTTGCAGCCTACTACAAATCAGCAGAACCAAACAAACCAAAGCAAAACTAACAAACTTGCCCCACTCTAAAAATGAGCAGAACCCAAAAAAACAAGAACCAATTGAGCCCTGAGCCCCCTACGAAAAATGAGCAGAATGAAAGCACCGGGAACATAGGTGGCCTTTTGGAAAAATGGATGGCCCTGGTAAATGGGACAAAACCCATCTAAACCAGTGCCATCTATTTTTAACCAGGCTCAACACCTATGACCGGGAAAATAAAAACAACGCTTGAGCCAAGAACCGTGGCGCCGAGTTGTCGTCGGCCCGGCCATCTTGGTGCCCGGGCGGCTTGGAGCTCAGGCCAGTCGCCCAAGCTCAGCGCAGCTGCAGCTGCCTGGCCAACCCAAGGCCAACTGAAGCCCCCTCTCAGTTGCTGCTAAAAGTTTAACTTTTAGTGGTTTAGTGGAAAACCCATTAGTAGGCAAAAAGTTCAAGTCCTAACAGCCAAGCAAAATGCATCAAGGCCCCCGGGCCCCCAAAAAAACCGACCGAAGCGTCGCGCTCAACAACTCCTCGACTTTTTGTTCCGATGTCCCTTTAAATCCATGAAAAGGAACATGATTCGACGCTTTCCTTGAGAAATGTCCCTTTAAAACAAAACAAAAAATGAAAAAAAAGGGGGAGTGCCGACTCCAGGGATCTTGTTGCGAGAGATTCCAATAGAAGTGTTTGGAGGTTTCACAGCGTCAAGGTACCTTGGGCCAATGTCGGAGATCAAAGAGAGATTGGAAGTCTAAGTTGCAGGTCCAATCAAACAGACTGCACTGCATATTCAAGGAATACAACTTCTAGCTGTACCCTCCTTCCCCATGCTCTTCAGGGATCCTCCTCTTGAAAAATGGCCCAACCCCCGTGGAAGATAGGTGATCTCTGAAGAACACAATGGGTGAAAAGAATGGGAAATCAAATCTTAGAATGAAATCATAATCATTTGTAACCTCAATATGTTGCCGCAATAGGTCCCCTGCAATTTTGTTGGTTGGCTTTAAAGAAACACCAACAGGAAAACCACTATTTTTTGTGGGGGTCCCCGAGAATGAGACGCCCAATTATCTAGTTGCTTGGTGACCATCTAGTTGCGTATTATAGTTGGGTTAGTTTGAATCGGTAGCCCTAACTGTGCCTGATTTTGTTGGTTGCTGTCCCCCCCACTTGTAACCCTCTGGCAGGAACGGTCAATGATTCGTACATTGGCAACCTAAACCACTGTTAATCATGACTAAGTACACTAGTTCCATTGTAGCACTGCACTTTGAACCCTAAAGAAGTGTTTAATTCTCCTGGTGGCTGTTGCCCTCACTGCAAAAAGTGAAAAGCAGTTTGTTGGTTCGTGGCGGAGCACGCTTGATCGCCAAAAGCGAAAGACTCTTAAAAACAGCCAAGCTAGGACCTATTAGACTGCTGGCAACCCTAAACACCTGAAAGCTTGGGTGGTCCGTTGAACGCTCGACATGATCAAAAAACTGCAGCTACCGGCGGCTGAAAGGCTCCAATCTGATGGGTCCATAAAAGCCGGAAGCGTCTCGAAAGGTGAAGATGACCCTTCCATTGGCTTCAGAAATTAAAAGACTTGCGGGTTCTTGATAGGGCATCGCGCGCAGGGTTCAACGTCCAGGCACTGGACATGGTGTACCAAAGGATCTTCTTCCTTTTGAGGCGAAGGCAAAACCAACCCTCTTCCAGTCAACCAGGACGTCAATTTTCAGAAAGCCACTGGGCTCAAACTTGAAGCTTCCTTTTCAGGTTGGTTTCATTCGAACATTTCAAGCCGCTTTTCTGGCGTCCTACATATACACACACGAATTAGTCTCCTCAAAGAACATCTGTCGATTAAAGGAAACCCAAGAGGAACGAACGGGACACTTGTGTTAGGGAAACTGCCTTCGATTTTGAAGACCCTTCAGGGTTCTTTGAAGGATACATCCAAAACCACCTGCCTTTCAAGGGGATTCCCCTGTTGGGTGTGTGTGTGTGCTTCGTTTCATGCCCTGAAGAAACCCAATGTTAAGTGGACACCCTTGGCTTCACTACGAAGGAAACCTAGGCAATGGGACTGGGCTTTTTGTGTAGCGACGCATAACAGGGAGTCCGAAATCCAGAGGGTATCGTTGGGAAATGGGTATGGGTCAAAATGAAATCGCCAGGTTTTAGTCCATGTTTCCATTGACCAGTGATTTCGACCCCATTTTGGGTACCCATTTTGACCCACAGCCAAATGCAGCCATGAAGCTAATCTATGGTAGGGTCGTTTTTGCTGCTCTGAAACTGCCTCTTTCACCATGGCCGGGTTTCGCTGTTCAGTGGTCCCCTGCAAAGTGACTTGGTACCCATTTTGACCCACATCTTTGCTCGGTTGCTTTCTGCTCCCCTGCTCAAGGTTTAACTTTTAGTGGTTTAATGGAAAACCCATTGGTTGGCTTTAAAGTCCTAACATCCCTTTGCAAAATGCACCAACATTTGCATGTTTGTGTAGCACGCGGTTTCCTTTCGCGACTCCGCCTTCCCAGCTTTTCTTCGGGCCTCCTGCACCGCGGGATGGGCACTGTGCCTCCGCATGGCAGCGGTCAGCGCCTGAACAGAATCCAAGAAGCAACCTGGGTTAGTTGTTACTTTGCCACCGATTTACACGAAAAATGGACGGGTTCCATGTCAATTGGTTAGATACAACACCTTTGACTTGATGGCTGACGCTTGACTGGGCCGACTTTCTCAGGCTGATTTGGTGACCTTAGGCTCATTTTAGGCTGACTTGGGCTGACCTAGGCCGAATTGGGTTGACATTGGATTATTGGGAAACTGGGCTGATTTGGCTAGGCTGGTTGGGCTGAACAAAGCTGATTGGGTGAAGTTAGGCTTGGCTGACTTGAGCTGATTTGATTTGGCTGACTCAGGCTCATTTGGTTGACTTGGGCTGAATTGTTGAATTATGTTCATTTCGAAGGGGCTGATTTGATTGACTTTGGCGATTTTTGCTCGACCCGACCATAATTTGGACCCATCAAAGTGACACCCTCAAATGCTTTTCAAACAACGTGCGAAAACATGTTTCATGTTGCTTAATAATTCAACACGCAAACGGTTGACTTTAATCAAGCGCTGAAAGTGTGGGGGCGTGGGGGCCGGGCCCCTTTGGAAACCTGCCGTCAATTCCATGGCAGGGGCCCAATCGAAAGCTTGCCGGCCATCATAAAAGACGAGGTTTTTGAAAAAACAAAACAACCCTACCATAGCTTATACTTCACAGCTTCATTTCCCAACCCAATGCAGGGACCATCCTCTGGATTTCGGACTCCCTTTTGCTTTTGGTACCAGGGAAATGCAACAAACCCTACCATTTCGGGGCAAAGGGAATTCACAAGGCGACCCTCCATTTCTCACTTCCTGCGTGGATTGGCCAAACTTGCTGTTTACCACTAAACCGGTCTTCTCCAAAAAGGTTCGAAGTTCAGTCTCTCGGGGAGTGACCTGTTTTGGGCCATGCCCGAAAAAAATCCCTCCTTCGAGCCTCACCCCTCCTTTCATCAATAATTACGGAGCAAAACTTGCTTGCTGTTGACCCCCTGCAAAAAGTGAATCACTTTTGGGGGGTTTCATTCGGAAAGCACGACTTGATTTCAACCAAAAAGCTAAAGTCTAAAGATCCGTTGCCCAATAGCAGTCAAGCAATGCCCTCTACTTTCACCCAGAAATTGTGAATTGCCCTCCCACCAATGAACATGGAATCTGACTCTGACAGGGCTCCCTATATTTCCCCTTGAGACATCACCCCCAAGGGATACTCACCTTTCATGGGCCAAAAAGGTGATGTTTAAAACCACCAAACAGGGGAAATATAGGGACCCCTGTTAAATGGACCCCCCCACTAAACCAACCAATGTTGACCCAGGATTAATAAACCCGTCCCACTATTAGGGGGGTGTCCCGTCCAAAAGTGGTCTGAATCCCCGCTGAAAGGGGACACCCCCCAATCAAAATCAACCAGGCGTCCTCTTGAAACGGAGACTGGTCCAGAATTCGGAGCGGACTCTTTGGCCGTCGCCTCCATGGTGGCGCAGGCCTGGTGCACTGAGAAGCTGTCCGCGCACTGCCGCAGCCAGCCGCCCAGCCTTGACGCGCCCGGGGTCTGGGGTCTGGCGGGGGGTCTGGTGCACCGGGGGAAAGCAGATGGCATCGTTTTGGTGGAGGTAGGTGGATTTTTGGCCCAAAAGTTGGGGAAGTCTTTGGAAATGATGGCTTCCTTTTGGTTCCCCCGTGGAAAACAGACCAAGAAAGGGGTACCGTCACAAGAAAAGACAAGCAATGATTACTTTACTTTGGGGATCGATGAACCTAAGTGAGAGAGGATGGGTCTGAGGGAGTTATTACAAACTTGACGCTCCAGAACGCTCCATGGCACAAGCACCTGGACAGAAACCATGGTTGCGCCCAGGATTCACAGAAGCCACTGCCACTTGAACTGGTCTAGGTCCTCCAGTAGAGAGGTTAGACTAAGGGTACCCTTTTTCTGTAGTCTATTTTAGTAGATATAGCTGTGAGTCAAAACCCTGGTGCCCCCTCTAAAAAGACAACAGTGGAGTGGTAACCATCCACAAACAGGCACCTTAGGTTTTGACCCACAACCATATGGAGCCCAGTCAACTCAAACTTGTCTTCGCCAAACTTGGTCTTTGCTTTGAAGAATCGCCCAAAAGAAAATCTAAGCTGTTGCAAGGAGCAACCTTGATACCTAACCCTGCGTGAATCAACCTGGCAATTGAAGAGGGCGGTGTGTTTCTTGCCAAGTGAGGTAATCCCGCTATAGATCGACCACAAGCTCATAAATTCAAGGTTCCCACAATGATCTTAAGAACCTTGCACAGGGTCACCCTGGACTCTCTGGATACTTGCAGAATCTTCTAGGGGTTGATTCCCCATTCTTTTCAGCCATCGTTCTTTCCAAAAACCAGCCATTTCCCCTGGGTGTTTGGTGGTTTCAAAGCATAGAATGGAAATGGAAGTTGCCCCTAGGAAACTCCTGTCTCATATCGTCAAGGCGGCTCTTCCTTTTTCAAACGCTATCCTTTGAGGCGACATGTGCCTGAGCGCTTCGCGGTGAACCGCTGGTTGCACGGTAGCAATGCGGGACTGCTCCGAAACCACCCCAAACTACAGCCCCTCCCAAGGGGAAAGCAAAAGGTGAGGTTGACGTTGGAAGGGGAGCAAACATGCTAAAATGTTAGCAGTTAAGTGGTTGGATTTCAACCACGAAGCCACAATAAGCAAAAGTGTAACATGTGTCCCAACAACAACCATGTGGGGGTGTCTCAAAGTAGCGGAACGTCCAAAATGGGAGTAGTTTCCGGTTGGTTTTCCTTCAGTCCATTAAAAAGGGTTCCCCAACTCAAAAACCAAACTCCCAGTGAACTCCTAGCCAGGCAGCCCCTTGAAACCAACAAGCTGTGAAACGGCGGCATTTTTCCGCAAGGCGCAAGCCAGCCCGGGTTTCCCCTCCACTCTCCACCTTAAGAGAAATACCTTTTTTTGCAAGACAATCATGGAAGTGGACAAGAAGATCCCCCGTAAAAATATATATATATAGGCGACAGAAGTGGACAGGGTTTTTTGAGAAGGAATATAGTCTTCCGAAACCTGTCAGCTTCCATGATTGGAGTTGGGGCAGGAACCTAATTCTGTGGATCCCTGTCATGGAAAACGGGCAAACCCTGGCCGTCAGCGCTGAAGGGCGGACGAGCCATCAGATACAAAAACGTTGAATTCAACCCAAAAGGCGCCAATCCGCATATTTCTCATCGGGTCTCCCTTGGATTGCGCAAGGTCAACAGCTTTAAGAGAGAAGAAGTCAATCATGTGTTTGCTTTCAGCTTGCTTTTTGGCGCGGCTTTTTTCTTGTGCCAGCATTGTTGTTTTTGAGGTTGCATTGGCAGTTGGGCTCGTTAAACCGGCCTTCACGTGGCCAACATTGTGGCCAACACAATGTAACCCAGAGAGCTCAGTGCGATCCCCAGAAAGGAGTTGAAGAAGAACAGGTTGCTCTCGCCTGCAGAGGCCGGATTTCTTCGAACCTCTGTCCAAAAAAACGGCCGCGTTTTTTTCGTCTGCGCTGTGATCCGGCCTTGATGGGTTGCCCAAGCAATGCTTCGTTTGCGATACCTTAAGGTGTCTTCCAAAATAGGGTAGGCCTATTATTATTTGTTGGGGATATTTGCGTTTCTCTCAAAAACCACCCACTTGCATTTTGGTGGGAATCATCATGTCATACTTAAATCTTTGGATGTGATTCTCCTTCACGGACACCCGGGGACCCAAGGATGATGGTTGCGGCGACGCAGTTTACATTGAAAGGCACAGTTTCCCCGAATGCCCTTACTCTTCCAAGAACTGGAAAGAAAGACTCAAGCTGACTTAGACACCTAGCAAGCTGGATGGCACATACCAAGTGAACCGACATTGCACGCCCTCTGGCCGGCGAGTCCTCCGTTTCACCAGGCTTCACAGTTTGCAAATCAGTTGAAAGTCAGTGACGTGTGGCCCGGAGCTGGAGAAGGCGTTTTGTCCTGTAGTCTATTTTAGTAGGGGAGCCCTTGCAACCAACAAAGTTGGGCGAGAAAGGGCACCAATCGCTGGGGGGGCCAAATCGTAAGGCGCACTTGCTGAGCCGGAGGCAAGGCACAGAAGCAACACCAGAGCGAGCAAAGGCTGGGCGAGGCTTGGAGCCGTATGGAACGCCGGCTTGCTATGCCAGTCATTGCTCTAGGGGTACCTTCCATTTCCATTCTGAACCCAGGGATCCGAATCATTTCCAGAAAGCCATCAGAACCCCAGAAAAAGAGCGATCGGTTTTTGAAAAGAACGATGGTTGAAAAGAATGGAGAAAATAACGCCTAGACTTCTCCGTGAATTGGCGGGGTTGTCTGCAACACACCGGCTTTGTGGAAATATTGCCAGGTGCTCACACCAACTGGGCGTGTCATGTTTAGGGGACGAAATGGAGGTGTTCCTGTTGGTTGCAACCCAAAAAGGGTACCCGCAGAACAAAAGCAAACGAATAAAACTCGCTGGCTGAGTGGATGGCCCAAAAAAAGTTCAAACTTTATATTTCCCACTAAAATGGTCTGCCCAAAAGGTTTAAAGTTCATGAACTCAGGGAGTGAGAAGAGGAAAAGCGGGGCACGCCCAAGAAAGGCAGCGCCAGCCCTTCCCACTTCAGCCACAGCGCCGATGCACTTGTTCATCCAAGGGCAGTGGTGGTCCCAACCGGCGACGCCTTGGCTCTCGCGGAACTCCGCGGTCGGTCTCCGGACATCCCCAAAAATCGTACACCAATACAAACACAGGTGCATCTTATGGCTGTGGGTCAAAAAATCGGTACCCCCAAAATGGCTAAAACCTGGCAAATGGAACCAAGGACTAAAACCTGCGGTTCCCTGGTGGCTAATTTTCGCCCATACCCATATTCCCCATACCCATATTTGCATGTTGCCACCTATGTTCGAACAAATGCCCCGCATGTGGCAATTTGTCTGGCTTGCTGCAAAAGGAGCACAACGTCAGCAAAGCTATTCTTTTGCCTGCGAGCATCGTTCAACTGGGAGAAGCCCTGAACAGGATTTTGTATGCCCTTTTTGAAGTGCCGAGCACTTGGTTGCTGTTGACCCCTGCGAAAAGGTTATATAGCATAGTTTGGCTTTTTGTGGGTTCGACGGAAAATGTACTGTTTCCCCAAAAGTTAAAGTTCCAAAAAATATATTAAATGGCCATCAAGAACATGACTGCGAAGCCACGTCAAACGAGCGAGTGCATGAAGCAATGATGGTAGATCAATAGGACTGCGGGGGCAAACAGCTCTTGCATTCGACCGTGGGCAAACTGGCACTCAGCTTAATTTACAACCTTTGCCATGGTAGCAATTCTGCATTTGTTTTGTCAGCCCCCTACCAAAAAAAGAACAGAACCCCCCCCAAAAAAAGAAGAAGAAGAAGAAACCAAAACACAAAAACTTGCCTACAACCGTGAATCTTACAAACACAACTGTGAATCCTGATTTCAGTGTGATGCTTGGTTGCCAGCATGAGGTCTCTCACTCGCTTGTCTTGCCTCTTAGCCCTGTGGAATCCTCTGGATAGTTGCTTAAGTCCCCAGGAAAAAATAGAACTGTCCAGTAGTGAAATCAATTCCCCTGAAAACCAACCAAGGAAATGCAAAACAAATATTCATTTCAACAAATGGAACTAGGCTGTCCTCAGATCCCCCGCGCTAAAAGCTTAACTTTTAGTGGGCTAAATGGAAAACCCCACTAAACACTAGAAAGCTAAAAGGCTAAGGGAATGGCTGGGAGCCACCAAATGGAAGTCAGTCTTCCATGTCCCCTCCAGCTCGATCTTAGCTTTCCGCCCGGCGGCACACTTGGCAGTAGTCGCAGTGGAGCACGCCGATGGGCTGCTTGATGTCGCAAGCCTCGAGTGGAAGCTGCGCGGGACCCGCTGTTCGAGGAGGATTTGGCATATCCCCACCCACTTAATGTTGACCCAGGATTAGTACACCCGTCCCATTATTAGGGGGGTGCTGCCTCCAAAAGTGATGAATCCCCACTAAAAGGGGACACCACACCACCCTATTAATCAACCAGGGGTTTATTAATCCCTGGGGTTAACATTAGGCTTGGTTGACGTTGGAGGGGGGGGAAAAAACTAAAATTTAGCAGTTGAGTGGTTGGAATTCAATCGCCGCTAAACCACAATAAGCAAAAATGCAAAATGTTTCCCAACAACAACCATGCTTAGGCGCATACGGGTGTGGTTCAAAAATCGGGCAATCCCAGGAAAAGGCTTAACAAGGACTACAACCTGCGGTCCATATCCTGGTGGTATAATTTGACCCATACCCATATCCCCAGCCACTTAGGCAGGGGGACGTCTGAAAATTATCGAGCTTACACTTCCCTTGGCAGGTAACAAAGAAATCAGGCAAGAGTACATTTGGCACAGGGACCTGCAAGTTGTAGTGTTACATTCTTAGATCTTAGGTTTGAATGGGAGGGGCAAAGAACCGTAGAAAGCACAGCATCTTACAATCACCTTGCACAAAGCAAGTTTACATGTTTGGCTTT